GGGATATATTCAAGATAATATTTTGGCTCTTGTGGACTTGTTTTAATTGTCTTCAATTTCAAGTTGAACTTGCATCTGAGCAGTTGATGGTCTGTTTCACAGTCAGCTCCTGGCAAGCTCTTGGCTGAAGATAATGAGCATTTCCATTGCCTCTTGCCACAGATGTAGTCAGTCTGATTCGTGTGTACTCCATCTGTCGAAGTCCATGTGTATAGCTGCCATTTGTGTTGTTGAGAAAAGGTATTTGCAATGAATAAATTGTTGGTCTTGCAAAATTCTATCATGTCATCTCCAGCGTTATTTCTGTCACTAAGGCCAAATTTTCCAGTTACCAGTGATTCTTCTTTATTTCCAACATTTGCATTCCAATCAACAATGATAAGCAACACATCTTGATTGCATGTTCGGTCAATTTCAGACTCCAGATGTTGATAAAAATGTTCAATTTCCTCATATTTGGCTTTGGTGGTTGGTGCATAAATAAACTAATGAGCAGGATATCAATGATTAGATACATTAAAAAAGAGATTCATACCCTGTTTATAAATGTAGGACCAGGGGGATTTTAGAAAATAAAATTACCTTGACTTGATCAAGCTTTTCTTTTAGCTGCTGCTCATTTCCAAGTTCAAGTGGAATGCTAGCAACGTTATTTGCTTCTTCCAACCATAAAACAAATTCATTTAAATCTCTTTGAAATTCTGACAAAATATTCTTTTGTTCTTCCAGCCTGGAGGAAAAAAAAATAAAATTGTTATAAACATCATGTTTCTCAAATTTTCTCTTATTTTACAGCAAACTAAAAAAAAAAAAAAAAAAAAAAAACCTAGCAAACATGGTCAGGAAAATAAGCAATTTACAAGATGTTAACAATACATGATTTCTTTTAAGACAAATTGATTAACTTTAAACAAGGTGATTTCAATAACTCAAAAATCTTTAAAAGATAAGAGATTGAAATTGGTTAAAAAAAATTCTGATTTTAAATTCCAACAGCATTATAATTACACTAGAGCAGGGCTTCTCCTTTTCAGCACTATGGTTCTTTGTTTTGAGGGGTTATCCTATGCATTTTAGGAGGCATCCCTGGCCTCTTTCCAGCAGATGCCAATAGCACCCCCTATCCAGTTATGACAACCAAAAATGTTTCCAAGCATTACCAAATGTTCTTCTCCTGGGGAATCAAAATTGCACCTGTGAACCACTGTACTAGAGTAATTATATAACAAGATCTAGTACATTGGAGAATTGTAGGACAGAAGTTAAAATAAAAGGAATTAAAATTAAAAAATATATATTAATGCTAAAATGATTTCCAAATTATGACTCCCAACTCATTTTGGGGAAAGAGGAACCTTGATCTAAAATACTTAACATATTCTGCATTTCTTGTTGTTGTTGTTGTAAGTTGCCATTGACTTCATTCTGACTCACAGTGACTCCAAGTGTGCGGAGTAGAACTGCTCCATAGGGTTTTCAAGGCCTTTCAGAAGCAGCTCACCAGGCTTATCTTCTG